GAACTACTGAAACCTAAATGAAGGCTGAACATGGTAGTGAGAGAAGAGGAAAGTAAAAGAAAATAGAGGAAAGAACTAGGAGGCAAAGAGCATTTATAGAGGTCTAAATACAGGCATGTACATATGTAAATATATTTTTATATGACAATGGGGAAATAGATCTATGTACATATATTTATAGGTTTAGTATTAAGAAAGCAGAAAGACATTGGGCCTCTACTCAAGTACTCCCTCAACTTGAACAAGAACACTTTGTTCTAATAATCCAGCATTCTGAGATGCTCACCTGCCTGACACAATCGCTAAAGACAAATGGGTGCATAAGCAAATAAGGCGAAGAAAGCTGATGGTGCCCAGCTATTAAAAGATATAGCGTCTGGGGTCCTAAAGGCTTAAATATAAACAAGCGGCCATCTAGCTGAGAAATCAGCAAAGCCCACATGGAAGAAGCATGCCAGCCTGTGTGATCATGAGGTGTCGAGAGGATCAGGTGTAAGGCATCATCAGAACAAAAAAATCTTACCATAGTGAATGATGGGGGGAGTGCGGAGTAGAAGCTAAAGCCAATCTGTAGGTAATTGGACATCCCCTTACAGAAGGGTCGTGGGGAGAAGACGGGCCAGTCAGGGTGCAGTATAGCACCAATGGAACATACACCTTTCCTGTGGTTCTTTAATGCTTCCTCCCGGCTTTTATCATGACCCTAATTCTACCTTACAAATCTGGCTAGACCAGAGCATGTACATGGATATATATAGGAACTGAAAACACAGGGAATCCAGGCCAGATAAACTCCTTGGTAGCCATACCGGGAGGGGAGAAAGGGGAAACTGACCACAATAACCTACCTATAACCCTCTTCCAGGGGGATGGACAACAGATAAGGAGTTAAGGGGAGACATCAGACAGTACAAGACATGGAAAAATAATAATTTATAAATTATCAAGGGTCATGAGGGAGGGAAGGAAGAGGAAGGAGGGGGAAAATGAGGAGCTGATACCAAGGGCTCAAGTAGTAAGAGAATGTTGTGAGAATGATGATGATAACAAATGTACGAATGTGCTTGACACAATGGATGGATGTACGGATTATGAAAGAGTTGTATGAGCCCTTTAATAAAGTGATTTATTTAAAAAAATACATTTTCTCTCTCCTCTGGACCTGGTTCCAGATACTATGGAGGTGAGCACCCCAACATTTTTGTCTGTCTCTTAATTTCTCTTCTTCAATTACACAACTGGCCCTTAGAACCCATCCGGATGTGGGCTGGATCCCACAGGGATGCTGCCCACCTGAAAAGTGACTATTTCTTACCTCGGGAGACAAGGGGTTTCCACTTCAAAAGCTGAGCTCTGAAGGTGCCTAGGTGTGCATGTGTATGTGCACGTGTGTGTGTTAATGTGTATGTGAGTGCTGATGTATGAAGTGTGTGTGTGAAGGGAAGGGGTGTGTGGGAGAGACAACCTGATACAGAGACAGACGGAGGGAGGGAGCAATTCGGAACCAGAGTATAGGCAGTCCTTGGGTTGCAAACATCCAACTTAAGTACAACTCTAATTATGAACCAACCCTCATAAAGCCTCTTATATTCAATATGTGAAGTACACCCAATGATTCATAATAACAAATGGGCACTATTTTGTAATGTACATAAAAAAATCATCATTATTACTTTATTAGTGTGTTACAGGACCCCTGGTGGTGCCGCGGTTAAAATGCTTAGCTGCTAACCAAAAGGTCAACAGTTCAAACCCACTAGATGCTCCGTAGGAAAAAGATGTGTTATTCTACTTCTGTAAAGATTAACAGCCTGGGAAATCCTAGGGAGGCAGTTCTACTCTGTCCTGTGGTGTTGCCATGGACCAGAATTGTCTTGACAGCAGTAGGTATGTTGGTAAAGATGGTTTACTATATCTGAAAGTATTTCATGACTGTTTTTATGCATAGAAAAGTATATAATGTACTATTTTCCTCATTTATCAACGTGGTTATATGTTCCAAGGATCAAGTTATTATGTATATTACAAAGTATATACATTCTATGTGCAAAAGTCCACATTATGAGAAAATAGAGAATGACCAATCAGATCAATGACTACCTATGACCACAAAATGCAGAGCAACTATACTCATATAATTATATACCATATATACCCGAGTATAAGCTGACCTGAATATCAGCCAAGGCACCTAATTTTACCACCAAAACTGCATAAAAAAATGTGCTGATAAACTCTGCTTATACACAAGTATATATGATAAGAGCCAAATGTCATCATTACACAACTGCCAAATCACCAAGAATCATGGTGCAGCCTAGTTGACACTCAACCTTAGTAATCACAACCAGCATTACTCTCACCTTGGCATTTGCCAGACATATGTTGTTAATGTGAAAAATAGTCCAGAGACTTTTCACTACTGCAAAGTGCTGCATAACAAGACACTCACTAAATGAGAAGCAGATATAAATACGACAAATATCTGATTTATTGACATTACACACAACCCATACTTAACTGTTCTGACTTATGTACAAATTCAATTTAAAGGGAGACTTGGGGGCTGAACTCGCTCATAACTAGGGGGTTGCCTATATACTCTCTCCATAAGAGACAGGTGGCTCCATCAGAAACCCAACGGTGCCATCACTAATGGTCAGGGGCAGATTACCCCACAAACAAGGTATGTGCCCAGGTTTACTTGGACTTACTTATCTGCCATGAACAGGTACAAAATCCATGCTTACCTACCTTATTGGGTTACATGACACTGCTGATGATGATCTGGGAATCAGCATTTTTGTTAACATCTTAAAATGAGTCCTGGAAGCATTTCCCAGTCCTTTTCAAACTTGTAGACATCTTATGCTTATATCACTATGAAAACAGGCACTCTCAGAAGACTACAGACATGGAAGACCTGGATCATCGGTTAGGTCAACACCAGTCCAAATTCACATCTCTCAAAGCACAGCTTTCGGGGAATCCCCTTGCACACGAAATGTAATTGGACATGCTGAGACTGCTGGGTCGCTCCCGCGCAGTTCTCTCGGTAACTTTCATAGGTGTCAGTCTTTACAATGGCTGCGATAGATGATTTTATGTCAACTTGAATTTTTTGAAAGGGAAAGGGGGGCATCCAACCTGCCAATCAGGTCATCGCCTGATGAGACCTTGTGGTGGGGAGGGTGGCCTTCTTTCAAGTGGGGGAACTAGAGAATCTGGGAACCTCCCTCTGTCTCTGTCCCTCTGCCTTCTTGCCTGTTGGGACTCCGTTTTCCTTGAGAGATGGCCCCATGTGGGCAAACCAACCCTGAGAACTGCCAGCCTGCTGCCATGTTCCCACTGATCTTGGATCCCCACAAATGCACCCACTGACCTGTGATCTGCCTGCTTCCCTGTTAACCTTTCTGCGTCACTGGCCTGTGCTCCATGAGTCTGAAGAGGGCCTTAGGGACTAGCATTGGACGTATGGACTTGCGTTTCAATAAGCTGGACGACTTCTTGATGTATGATTACTTCTTGATATAAAGCTCTTTCTTATACATAGATGCATTTCACTGGAATTGTATCTCTAGACAACCCGGCCTAACACAATGACCAACATGATATAACTGGAAAACACCATTTGAAAGAAACAACTTTGTGGATGGGACGTCATGGCTAGTGTGTGTTGCATACCTACTATTTACATACATCCTCCCATTTGCTCCTCCAAAAAATGTCCCAAGGTGGGTATGGACATTCCCATTTAACAGATGAGGAAACTGAACCTCAGAGAGGTTATCAGAACTCAAACCCACTGCCATCAAGTGGAGGTGGGCTGATGACAACCCTTCGGGCAGCACAAGGCTGCTGCATGGGGCTTCTTTACGGGAGCAGATGGTCCCACCCTCCACCTGTGAAAAGGCTGGTCAGTACGTTCAAACCACCAATCCTTGGGTTGGTTGTCCAAGACCACTTTGCCTCCAGGTCTTCTTTCAAAAAGGGTAAACCAGACAGGAGCTCTCCACTAAGTGTTAGACCACTAACTGCGAGGTGGATGGTTCACACCCACCAGCTTGGGAAACCCTGTGGAGGGTTGCCATGGGTCAGAATTGACTCAATGGCAGTGAGCTTCAACTGCCTAAACACACACATAGCCATTCTCTTCCCACTGGTCAGCCTGTTGCCCATTCTTAGAGCCCACATTTAGAACCGAACCAGCTAATCTATATTCTGTGTGTTTTCATGACATTTCCTCTCCCTCACAAGAGACGAGATGAAGGAGAAACACAAATTCACCTGAAGGAAGCCTGTGTACTAGGTCAGAATGAAAGACCCCTGACATTTTCTATCCGTTCCTCGTGTCTTGATTCAGCTCACAGTGTCCTCCCCTCTCCTAGGTGGCTGCCCCCCACTCCACCCCCACCCAGCCTGCTTGCTCTTTTTCTCCGGCAGCCAGGTGGGGAACATTATTAACACAGATTTAGCTGAACAAATCCAATAAAAAAATTCTCATAACCCCCTTGCCCAGATAAACCCAGATGAAAAAGCTTGCCCTGAATATCGGAGAAAAGGCACAGCTGTAGATCCAACTGCACAAAGGCAAGAGGTTGAATTTTTATTTGAAACCCTGCTTGAAGCGACTCAGGATGGCCTGGTTACCAACGAGATGCCCCCTCACATAAGATGCACCCACAGCAGAGCGCCTGGTGACCTCGAGGCTCTCCCTCCCGGGGTCCTCCCAGGCCCTGTGCACACAAACAACCTCACTGCTATCAAGTCAGCCTCAGTGTGACTTACAGGAGGACTAGAACTGCCCCTGTGGGTTTCCAGGACTGCAACGCTTTACTGGAGGAGAAAGCCTCCTCTTCTCCTGGAGAGCAGTCAGTGGTTTCAAACTGCTGACCTTGAGATTAGCATCCCAACGTAGGACCCGCTAGGTTGCCAAGGCTCCTCTGGGCACCTGGACCTCCTTAACCACCCCATCCTGCAGGGGAGCCCTCACTACTCACCCAGGAGGGTCGTCTGGGGGTGTGTCCGAGCGAGTCTCCCTCTAGAGGCGGCCCTCGGGTATAGCCGCTGCCTGGCCTCCACGGTGGGGAGGAGGACGTGTCCGAGGATCAGCAGGAAGCAGCCGCACAGCATCTTCGCCATCTTCCAGGAGAGGTGGAGGAACACGACTGTGAAAACACAAGACGAGAGGGGGCCAGGGTGAGAAATCGATGCTGCCATGTCACCTCTCAAACCTGCCACATGTACCTGCAGCACCGTTTGTGGCTTTGACCTGTAAGAACTTGTCGCCCAATGAGGGGGAGTGCAGAGTGGGGACCCAAAGTCCACCTGTAGGCAACTGGACACCTCCTTACAGAAGGGTCGCGGGGAGGAGACGCACCAGTCAGGGTGCAGTGTAGCAACGATGTAACGCACAACTTTCCTCTAGTTCCTAAATGCTTTCTGCCACCACCCCCCCATCATGATCCCAATTCTACCTTACAAATCTGGCTAGACCAGAGGATGTACACTGGTACAGATAGGAACTGGAAACACAGGGAATCCAGGACAGATGATCCCTTCAGGACCAGTGGTGTGAGTGGTGATACTGGGAGGGTGGAAGGAGGATGGGGTAGAAAGGGGGAACCGATTACAAGGATCTACATATAACCACCTCCCTGGGGGATGGCAACAGAAAAGTGGGTAAAGGGAGACGTAGGATAGTGTAAGATATGACAAAATAATAATAATTTATAAATTATCAAGGGTTCATGAGGGAAGGGGGAGCAGGGAGGGAGGCGGAAATGAGCTGATGTCAAGGGCTCAAGTAGAAGGCAAATGTTTTGAGAATGATGATGGCAACAAATGTACAAATGTGCTTGACACAATGGGTGGATGGATGGATTGTGATGAGAGTTGTATGAGTGACCAATAAAATGATTAGAAGGGGAAAAAAACCTTGTCACCCCCATTGGTCAGTTCTTCCAGGACCCTCGAGTCAGGCACACCCAGTTGGAACTCTTCTTTGTTGCTTTAGCTATTAACTTGAAACACACTCACTGCTATGGAGTCCATTCTGACTCAGAGACCCTGAAGGACAGAGCAGCACTGCCCCCTGAGTCCCATGAGTATACCTCTTTATGGGAGTAGAAAGCCCCACCTTTCTCCCAAGGAGTGGTTGGTGGTCGCAAACTGCTGACCTTGAAGTTAGCAGCCCAACCGAAGTTAGTATCATCACCGCTGCACCACCTGGGTTCCCTCTGCTGAATGGGAGAAGGGAAAGACAAATCCTGCCCGGAAATGTCTTCTCAATTAGCTCTAAAGTCAGAATCAACTCAAGGAGGGGTAGCTTGGATTTGAAATGGAAAAACCTGAGGTTCCAAGTTCCACGATTCCTTATGTCTACTACAATGGATGGCACAAAAGAATAGCACACATAAATTCCTTAGAGAATTCATGGGCAGCTTCACATAGCGCGCCTCACATCCCTCACACGCAGATCTGCAGAGCTGGATCCTGGGTCTGACACCTGCCAGCTCTTTGTGACCCTGGGCAAGCTACTCAACGTCCCTGACCACCAGGCTATGGGAATAATGTTAGTACGTACGTGGCTAACATTAGAAAATGGGGAAATAATTTAGAATTGTGCTGGACACATAAGAATGGAGCAATGTGTCAGGCTGCTAGCCACAAAGCCAGCAGTTCAAAACCACCAGCTACTCCGATGGAGAAAGATGGGGCTTTCTACTCCCATAAAGAGTTACAGTCTTGGAAATCCAGAGGGAAAGTTCTACCTTGTCCTATGGGATTGCTGGGCACTGGAATCGACTCAAAGGCATGGGTTGGATTTAGGGGGGGTGTTTTTGCCCCCTATGCTAGAGGACCGGATAGGAACAAGATCAGACTCTTGGTGCAGCAAAAGGCTCTCAGAAACACAGATAATCCGCACCCTGAGTTGTGCCCCAGGGTACCCACAGGGCGTTTCAAATGAAGTGGCACTGCCTTGATTTGTTTTCTGTATTTTAAGTCTGCCCAGCAGCTGGCGTGGAGGCACGGAAGATTCTACGCCCAGAGCACGGTCCAGGGAACATGGTCAGACCCAGCTCTTACAAGATGGCGGACGCTACCAGATCTCACATCCCCTTAGAATGGATGCCTTCACAGGGCAAGTCTTTGGCAATACAGTAAATGATGTCATGACTATTATGTCAAAACCATTATATCTGGCAGCCCCTCATGGGCAAGGCAATGCCCCTGGGGCATGATTTTTGTTTATTCGTCCACTATCCATGAAGTGGATGGGTGTCACAGCAATTTATCAACTTATGCCAACTGAGAGGAGAGCGCTTCAGGAGGAACAACATTTAACGGGCATCATTTGCATTTGAAACCTTTAAGCTTTTGTCTGGTTATGTGCGGAGCTGCTGGTACCTTGTGTGGTGTTCATCTCATTTACACCTCACTCTCTCATCAAACCCAAAACTGAACTCACTGCTGGTGAGTCAATTCTGACTGGGGCAACCCCATTAGGCAGTGGTTCTCAACCTCCCCAATGCCACGACCCTTTCATACAGTTCCTCATGTCGTGGTGACCCCTAACCATCAAATTATTTTCATTGCTACTTCATAACTGTAATTTTGCTACTGTTATAAATCGTAATGTAAATATCTGATATGCAGGATATATTTTCATTGTTACAAATTGACATAATTAAATATAATTAAAGCATAGTTAATCACAAAAGCATAATTAATCACAAAAAAATATGTAATTATATATTGTGTAATATTTAAGTTTTCCGATGGTCTTAGGCGACCCCTGTGAAAGGGTCCTTTGACCCCCCCCCAAAGGGGTCGCGACCCACTGGTTGAGAACCACTGCCATAGGGCAAGGGAGCAATGCCCCAGTGGGTTTCTAAAGCTGTAACTCTTTATGGGAGTGGAAAGCCTCATGTTTCTCCCTCGGACCGGCTGGTGGTTTCAAACTGCTGACCTCTCCATTAGCAGCTCTCCTAACACTCTCACAGAAGTCAGAATTTTTATTTCCACTTTTAGCGATAAGAATACTGAGGCTCAGAAAACGCTAATAACCTAGTCAAGAGCACACAGCTAAAGTGGCAAGTAGAGATTCACACCTGGGATCAGCAGGTCCATTAGCCAATTCACGGACTAGCTGGAGGACCAATCCGCCCAAAGTTAAAGCCCCATGGCTGTCTCACTGTTGGAGGCAGCCAGACGGGGCAGGGGCTGGAGTTGGAACCGTTTCCTGAGACCTAAGAGACAGAGACCGTAATTCCGTGAACTGTTTGTTAAGCACATCGCTTTCAGGAATTGACCCAGAGATGAACCTAGCCTTGTTGCCTTTGAAAATCCATGATCTTTCACACTCGCTGTATTCAGTCAGCTCACTTTTCACTCTGCACTGGAAGGAAACAATAAGAACGGTGTGACTGGCACAGGGGCTCCTAGTCCTTTAAATGGAGTAAGGCATTTCGCCCCACAGTAACAAAGAGCTTAAGGAACCTGGTGGTTCGTAGGGGGCGAGCTCCAGGACACAGGTACACTCGTGGGTGGCCCCGACTCACAGCGTAGCTGAGCATCCTTCCGAGGAAAGCGGAAACACAGGCAGGGTCTGCCCTCCTCTTCTCTTTCCCTTCCTCGCAGGGCCCCGGGGTATCACTGCCTTGTTTGATCGGCCTTGACAAGCGTGCCTCATCATTCACCCGTGGTTTGTTTAGCTGCAGGCGAGCCTCCTGGCGCCACACCAAACCAAGACAACATCCACGTTTTATTTATTTCAAAATGAAAGCCGTAAACCATCAAGCCCTCCTTCCATCCTGACACATAAAAACGTAAATCTAAATATTTATCATCAAGTACAGGGAATAATCCGGATTGCCAAAAACCCACACGCCGGTGTGTGTGGTTTGGGCTTACTGCAGGGCTCAAGAAGTCTTGGTGATTTCAAGTGTCCATTTCAAACCAAAAGGCACCCAGGACATGGGAAGGGAAACTACAAAGGTCACACTCACTCCAGTGGAGTCCCCTCCAACCCAGAGCGACCCCACAGGGCAGGGCAGTCCCTGCGGTTCCCCAGACTGTCGCCCTTTACGGGAGGTGAAGGGTAGCTGACAGTTAAAAACCAACCAACCAAATGTGCGGACCTACAAGCTCTGGGCAGGTTACTCACCCTCTCGGCCTCCACTTTCTCATCTGCAAAATGGGGATAATAATGGACCTGATTATTACCTGGGTTGAACCAGTTCAACTACATAAAGTTCTCAGAAGAATACTTGGCACCTAGTAGGTACTCAATAAATTACATGGGTTTATTATCATTATGATTGTTGTTGTTTTTGGAGAGCCTTGGTGGGGTCATGCTTCCACTTTGGGCTGCGATTCAAAAGATCAACAGCTCAAAACCACCAGGCCCTCTTCGGGAGAAAGACAGGGCTTTCTACTCCCGTAAACAGTGACAGTCTCAGAACTCACAGGGCAGTTCTACCCTGTCCCAAAGGGTCACGGTGAATCAGCATCAACTCTATGACAGTGAGTTTGGTTTCTGGTTTTTTATTATTATTTATGATCATATTTAATCGATCCAACTCATACAAAGTATATGGAAAAAAGGAAACTTACTGCCATTAGATTCCCACTCATAGCAACCCTCTAGGGCAGGGAAGAACTGCCCCTGTGGGTCTCTGAGACAGTCACTCCTCACCGGATTAGAAGGTCTTGTCTTTCCCCCCAGAGCAGCTGGCGATCTCCAACTGCTGACCCTGCCCTTAGCAGTCGGATGCATAAGCACTACCATGCCGGGGCAGATGCCCTGTTAACTTGACTAGTCTACACCATGTAAGGCACCCAACGCTTGCTTTTAGGTATGCTGTTACAATAAATTAAAGAGCAACATAAAAATGTGCCATTTCTGTATACATTAGGGTATGAAATTAATTTACACCTTCCTTTTTTCTTTTTCTTTTGGAAAGGTAGGACAAGTCACAAGCTGGTAGAAAATATATTTGCAAAACATATCTGATAAAAATTTTATATCTAATAAAGTGATTAAAAAAAAATTTATATCTAGAAGATATGAACAACTTCCACAACCTGATAATAAAACAAGCAACCCACATTTTAAATGTGTGGAAGATCTGAAGAGACACTTCACCATAGAAGATACTAGGAT